CCCCCCACTTGTTTTAACCTTAGATGTGCAATTAAAGATACATACTTAACGTTCATGACTGCTCCTGCTGCTGAGCTTCCTCCGCCATCTCTTGGTTAGATGGAGCTTGAGCTCTCGTAGGTTCTCAGGAATCGTCCATGAGGACAGGATTCCCCAGTTGTCTGCACGTGAACATTATCTGTAGCCTTGTTATTTGAAGAAGAGCTTGGCTGAATATAAGACTGTTGGTTCACAATTTCTCTTTGAGTGTCCTGAAACTTGCTCACCAGTTGTTTTGCTTTATATGTTACTCTTAAAAAGTCTGATGCCAATTTGAATCTTTTGTTTTTAAGTAACTTAGTCATTTTTCCTGGAGGGCCAGGGGATTTTTTTCTTTATCCTTAATGTGTAATAGTCTTACTAGGATGTATCTTAGAATTGACTAAATTTTTTTAGACATATGCTAGAGTCTTTCAATGTTATTCTTTTATTTCTAGAAAGTTTTCTTTCATTATAAATTTAGATTTAAATAATAGTTTTGTTCCATTAGTTTTATCTCACTGCTTTTTTTTTTCTTTAAATTCTTTATCTATGTGTTGGATCTTCTGTTTCCTATTTATTGTTGCCTCTCAGATTCTTTTTATCTCTTGATTTAACTTTCCATCTTTTGGCTATATTGCTTCTCTTCAATGCCCTGTGTTGAATCTAGTGCCCCTTAGCTATTTTATAATTTAGCTTTATTTCCAAGCTGACTTTGTATTTTTTCTTTTTTTAAAGTGAATTCAGTCACTCTAATTTCACATCTTTTTTGTGTATGTGCCCATTTTTGTTCCTTCGTCTCTGAGTTTGTGATTTGGCATCTTTTACTCACATTGACAAATGCTGGTTTCAGAACAGTTAGCTCAGGTAGTGGTGTTCTGTAGTAGTTTTTACCTGCTTTATTTTTGTTGGAAAATTTTTGTCAGCTAACATCTTTGATTCTGTTTTTCTATTTGTAAAACCTATGTATGGATGTTGTGTACCAATTTCGGATCATTTTGACATGCTTTATTTTCTGCCTCATCAATAATGGGTATGCAGCCGGGGGAGAGCAGTATGCTTGGCTGACGGGGTTTCTTATTTTGCAGAGTCCTGCTCTCTTCGTATTTTGCTCTGCGGTCTTTAAAATCAATAGTGCTTGGTATTGATGGGGAGAGGGTATTTTATGTCTTCTGATTTTGTGATTAAAAAAATAGAGGTGTAATTAACATACAATATTATATTATTTCAGGTGTATAGCATAATGATTCCATATTTGTATACATTGAAATGATCGCCCCAATAAGGCTCGTTAACATCTGCCTTCAAACTTTGTTAAAAATTATTTTTTCTTGTGATGAGAACTTTTTAGATTTACTCTTAGCAACTTTCAAAATACAATACAGTATTACTAACTATTGAACATGCTGTTCATTACATCCCCATGACTTATTTATTTTATAACTGGAGGTCTGAAAGCTTTTTCCCGTTCATTCGTTTTGGCTCCACCCCACCCCCACCCCCCAGTAATCACCAGTCTTTGTATCCGTGAGTGTGGTTTTCTTGTCTGTTTATTAGATTCCACATATTAGTGAGATCTTATGGTCTTTTCCTGACTTTGTGATTTTGTTTTCCATAGACCCCTTAATTTCCAAGACTTACTGTCTACTTTTCTTTCACCCCCAATCTTAGATGGAGCCCCTTCCAACTAGTCCACTGTCCCCCTGAATGGTGCCTTTTCAAGGTTCTAGTCTTTGCTCTGGGACATCTCAACTCTCTTCCTATGGATTCTTTAGCAGCCAGTGTTCTGAACCACTAGGTCTCAGAACTGTTCTAGTGGCATTTAGGGTGAGTCTCTTTTCCTGGGGGATGATTTTTATCTGTTTTCTGTCATATTAGACCTCTGATCCCTTCTCTCCCCCTCCCCGCTCTTTCCATACCCTGCTTTTGCACCTGTCCTCTCTCGGGTGAGCTCTGGAGCTTGCTCTGCTGCTTTCAGGTGTTGATTTCCCTCCTTAAACATAGCTGGAGGTCTGTAGTAGTCCCCAATCCCTGCTTAGGCTCTAAGTGTGAGTTCTGAATAGCTTTGTTTGCATGATGTTGGCATGATTTTTTTTCATATGTAAGTGGAGAGATGTGAGTTTAAGCTACCACCATTTTCTAAATAGAAACTCAGAAGCAATCTTACATATTCATCATAGCACTTTTTCTTAATAACATTAATGTCTTACATTCATGTGGCATGTTTTTCTCACATCACTTTTACAGATAGTCCTTCATTTGTTCAATGATGTTTGAAGTAAACACAATTTCACATGAGAAAGCTGACACTCAGGTAGGTTAAGTGAATTTTCCAGTGTCACCCTCCAGGGTCACTCACCTACATGTAGTGGAAGAATCCAAACTGAAATCCAGGTTTCCTGACTTCAAGTTCAGTTTTCTTTCCATACTACTGTTCTGCCATTTACATGGTATAATAATTTATGGAAGCTCCTCCTGGAAAGAATTAATGTAAAATAAATGTTTTCTAAAGCATTCCCCAAATATCCTCCAAAATAAGGTAATAACTCTCAATTAAGGTACTGGAGATAGTAAACTATTTGTTTTAATACATGTGGTGTGGATAACACCATATCCAAGAACTGTAGCTACAATTCAGTGAGACTGAACAAGGCAATGAGATTAAACTGTGAAAGGCAATATTAAGAGGTCAATGCAATCTCACTTCAGTGATCACTTTTAATCCCACTTAAATGAATGACATTAGAGCAGATAATTGTAGAGGTGGTGATATATACCATAGTTTAGCAGCGAAAATCACTTGACTAGTATTGTACAGAAGCAAAGACTAGGACAAAGAGAGTGAGAAGCTGAAACATATTTTGACTCCCAAATTTTATGTTTAATGAAGGAAATTGTGTTGACATTTACCAGATGTAATTGATGCTAGTGTTTATATTTTTAGAAAAGGAAGAAATTAAAAAATAAATAAAATTATGGAATTTGGGTAACTAAGTACATTTCCAGCTCTAATAATAAGTGCATTCACTTGAGTGAGTAACTTGATTTCCTCGGAACCCAAGGCCTAAGAAAATATAACATTTTTCAATTCTAACAGATGAATTGGATTAAAGGTAACTACCTCTAGTTTTTTTCAGACAAATAATTCACAGAATATTTACCCATGTCCACTTGGTGAGAGGACTCTAAGTGTAACTGCATGGAGTGCTCTCTCCCTTGAACTAACCTTTATAAATAATAATAAAAACTATGACTAAAAACTGGAAAGCATGCTCATCAAGTAAATAGATGACTCAGAGTTGCTAGTAGCTGCTTGTTCTTAGATGAACAAATAAAAATACATATAAATGATGTACACTTAAATTTAGAAAAAGTAAGAGCAAATATATAGTCATATGGAAAAGGCAAGAGTGTTAGTTACCTATAGACTCTACAAGATCCAGTTTTGTGACATAGTATCTCCAAAGCTTAAGTCATCTTAAGGAACAAGATCACTTCATAGCTTGGAACTATGAAGGGAGTAGCTTTACTAAAGTGTAAATAGATCAGAGCATGTCTGAATTATTAACTGTTCTGAATGATGATTTAAGGGGAAGGGCTGGAAAACTGGAGTACATCTGAAAAAGATTGGCATTTGGAAACCATGTCATTTAAGGAACTACTAAAAGATCTGGATGTGTTTGGTGTAGTTAAAATTTTTTTTGTAGTATAATACAAATGTTTCCAACATTTAAAGGACTGACCTATAGAAGACAGATTAGATCTCTTCTGTACAAATCCAGGTAAAATCTGTGGTCAGCAAAATGAGATTTATGGTGCTGGATCCCTTTAATAAAATTTTCTAACGGTGAGCATGCTTTCCATATGAAATCTACACATTTTTAAATGGTAACTCCCCACT